GGGACTCGATCCCGGGACTCCAGGATCATGACCTGAGCCGAAGGCAGTCGCTTAACCTACTGAGCCACCCAGGCGCCCTATTTATTTATTTTAGAGAGAGCACGCAAGCACGGTGGAGGGGAGGGGCTGAGATGGGGAAAAAGAGAGAATCCCAAGCAGGCTCCATGCCCAGCAGCAAGCCTGACTCGGGGCTTGATCTCACAACCCTGAGATGGTGACCTGAGCCGAGATCAAGAGTCAGATGCTCGCTCAACTGACTGAGCCACCCAGGCTCACCAAAAGTACTTTTTTTTTTTAAAGATTTTATTTATTTATTTGATAGAGCGCAATCACAAGTAGGCAGAGAACAGAGAGAGAGAGGAGCAGGCTCCCTGCTGAGCAAGGAGCCTGATGTGGGGCTCAATCCCAGGGCCCTGGGATCATGACCTGAGCCAAAGGCAGACGCTTAACCAACTGAGCCACCCAGGCACCCCCCACGGGAAGTACTTTAACACATTTTCTCATCTCCTTAATTTGTGACAGTGACCACACCTACTTGTTACAGGTGGGGAAACCGTGACGTGAAGCCTTGCACAGTGAATGGCAGCGCTGAGAGTGATATTAGATGCTCACCAGTACTTTCACAGTCTGTGTTTAGCTCTTAGGCTCCTTTACTGGCTTGGTTTAGAAATCCTGAAGTTCTCCAAACTTCATCATTTATTTTTATAGCAAGTTGTCTTGTAAATGTGTCTGCTGTGTAGTTAAAATTTTTTATCATAATATTAGTAAGTCATTATACCGCCTCAGTTTTATCCAGAAGTGTTTAATAAGCAGAATATTTATGCTTCTAAATGCTTTTGTGTTTATTTGTATGCTTTTGTTTTGTATTTATGCTTCTTTGCTTTTGTTTAAGCTACAGTTCCTTTGGATTCTGAGGCACACCTTTTCTGGTATCCTCTCTTCTCCCTTCTCCTATCAGTGAACAATTTAATAAAGCAGTCATGTATTTCCTCACACTTGTAGGTGCAGCTGGGTGGTTTTTTGTTTTTGTTTTTGTTTTTTAAAGATTTTTTATTTATTTATTTGACAGAGAGAGACACAGTGAGAGAGGGAACACAAGCAGGGGGAGTGGGAGAGGGAGAAGCAGACTTCCCGCGGAGCAGG